TAACATCTTCATATCCACGAACTTCATTCTCTTCTCTCTCTCTCTCTGTCTTTCTCTCCGTGGGCGATCAATATTCCCTTAATTATACCCGCAGAACGAGAGGATGAGTAACAGCGATCTAAGCCGGATGGCTTGTCCGGTAACGTGTTATTAACCGCGTCGTCCTGCTGCCCTAATTAACATTGCCCATGCAGTTTAAGCGAGGATAGGTATCAAATAGACAACTGCGTGTTCCTTGAAACAGTTTCCCTGATAGCTTCCGCGTTCAGTTGATTAAAAAACAACAACTTGAGTTAATGAAGAAATTATTGTTAAACGAATTATTTTAAACTGATTATATTGTGTGATTAGTCTCTCTTTTGATGATATCTTTTATAACTGTAATTTATGAACTATTTATTTTCTGAAACGTCGATTTCTTTGACGCAATAACATTATTCGCGTGAATCTTTAAGTGTATTTTACAACTGCAACAATCTGCATGAACAAATTAAATTAATAAAATTTTTCATTCATTTTTATATCGGATTTTAGACCATGGATATTTCTAAAGAGTGGCCATTAAAGTTTTAAACGGCCATTCTCTCGCGAATAAATTTCAGTAGTGGGATAATGTACATTATGGCTCTACTGCAAATGACTGCACGATGTATTTTCGTGTCAAACGTTTAAAGATCGAAAGAAATACGATCGCACAGCGTATATGACATTAATGCATCTGTTCACAGGCTAAGAATGGCGGAGTGGCGATGGTCCCTTTTTATACCTACTTCATAACATGCAACAGCACCGCTACTATAAAAGACGTTATTGGTACGTGCAACGCTATTCGCAAAACTGTGCTAAGCTACACCCCGGAAATAAATTATCCCGTATCGATATTGCATGTGACAGACGCGTAATTACTACACACGTATTATATTGTACGTCATTTCGACACGTTTTCCATTGTGAATTTAATTTTCGGAGTCATGCTCCGTAAAAAGATGTAAAATTAAAACGAAATAAATAAATGTGTCCGACATTTCTCGAACGAGGAACAAACACGTATCTGAATATTGCAAGAATCCTGCAATTCATCTTGCTCAGTCATTTTTTAAGTGGGATATATATTCTTGCTTCCACTTTAACGCTTGCAAATATTTGAGGAGATACGTTGTCCCGACAATAACAAAACATTTTATTTCACCCATGCATGCATGACGATCTCGTAAACGCGTTACCTCATAACCGCCGTTATTCCCCATTTTATTCCCACAGGCAAACGTGCATGCATTTATATTAAAATATTTTATATATTAAGATATTTTGCGACGCGCTGCCAACCAGGACAGAATGATCAAGGCCCTATATTGTTTCAGCACACATCAATCATATTCGAAAGGTAGCGGGAATTGATCACGTTGGGATCGGAGCGGGTTTCGACGGGATAAATTTGTAATTATTCTTTCACCATATCTGTTTTCGCGAGGCAGAAACACTCAGAGACAACACGCGCGCGACATTGCCACATATAAGTAATTTCGTTCAATAACGTTTATGATTAATCTCGTCGAAAGGTACAAAGCCACAATAAATCTGGAGCCCGACGTAAATATGTATTTAACCTACAGAGAGTTCCACTTTTATAACACTCGGGATAATTGCTTCGCTTGTTTGGAGAAGCGCGTGAGTCCCGGGAGGTTAATTTTATGGAGGGACGCAAGAAACAATGCCCAAGGAACTGCTTTTGTTCTACAGCTATAAAACTTTCACAAAGCGCCTAATCATGGTTCTTGTAATGCATAGTATTATAAAATATATCGTTGCTAACACAACTTTCCATGCTTCTTTTTTTGTCGCAATAATTATTTCAAAATTTACTTCGGTTTAACATTCAAAATATAGCTTCTACTCATCCTTTTCATTGGGCACAAAAACAAAATTAATTTATATTCATGTTACGGAACATTGCTCATAAAATCACTAAAACATGTTAGTCAAACAGAAATGTTATATAATTTTAAACTTATAATTTTAAACTAGCTAATTGTACACGGTTATTTTCTATCTCCAAGTTCAATTTATTCATAATAATAATCAGACTGTTCAGAACTAATGTGGAATCACAAAGGCTTGTGCATCTGCAATAATGCGTGGGACATATGTCAATTATGAATACAATATCGAGGCCAGAAGTGAAAGTATTGAAGACCAGTTTTATTATTAGATCTATCAACTCAGATTAGCTAAAAATATAATTCATATCGTCTTCAAAACAAACGATTCAATCCTTATTCAGTTTATTGTTACAATGTTCTTTTAAGAACATGAAAGTAACGCGTCGAGCACAGAAAACTTATATCGTCGTTCTCTGAGTGTTACCTCGAACCAGCTAAGTTAATAAGATCGTTTGATCCTCACGAGATTTATCCTTTTTTGTAGCACTCCCACGGGTTTAGAAGATGTCTCGAGGTATCCGCAACTATTGGCCACCTTGCTGGAGGATCCTACATGGACGGAGGAAGACATCAAGAAACTAGCCGGCCTCAACTTGCTGAGGGTATTCGCAAAAGTCGAACAGGTACGGCGATGCTCGTTTTTAATCGGCTAACAAAGCGCCGTTTCTTTTACGACGGTTGTAAACGAAAAGCGCTTTTGCTAGCTCGAACGAAAAACACGTAATCCTACGCGACGGTGGACTACGTAATTCCGGATATCTACGGTTTATCGCGCGCGCGCGCGTTGAATTTATCAGCGTTATTGGACGGTTGTTAAAGTTTTAACACTCTTTGTTACACACGCGCAAAGCTAATTGAACGCGTTACAACCTTGGCTCTTGTTTTCGCAACTTCATTATTGGAATTATTTTCACGCTCGGAATAAAGAGACGACATAAAGAAAAATTAAAATAGCAAACTTGGCTTTTCAAGCAAATCAAATAAAAAATTAGAATGAGAAATGAAAGAATTAATG